TGCCATTTGTGTGGTTTTACGTATTCGTGCAAATGCAAAAACGCATATTGTGACGATCCATGATGTATGTGTGTGTGTATAGGGGTGTGTGCGTTTGTGTGTGTGTGGAGTGCACGGGTGTATGTTGTGTACGCGTCTATCCAGGTATTTCAACTTGACAACCACGCATTGGATTCTACATCGATTTCGAAATTAACAAAATATCTGTTTTGTGTATGCCCAAGTTTCTCTGTCCATATTTCAAGCGCGTAATCAGTGATTTGTGGATAACAAACCAGAAATCAGTTGTAACTCATCCGTGTTATTTTTTGCATCTGTTTTAGCTTTTCACTCACTTCCCTCAATTTCACCTTTTTTTCGTTCCAAGGAGATTTTTTCCTTTTGCAGCGATTTGGGGCGAAGAAAACGAGTAAGGAAGACTTTGTACATGATCTTCAAACTGCAATAAAAAAAGAAAAAATACTTTGGCATGAAGGACACAGAGGACTGCATAAGTGATGTTGATGATGATGCAGTAAGTCGTTTTTTTTGTTCCTCGTATTTTTGCGAGCATAAGGGGGATAAGAAATTATGGTGAATAAAATAATGATAACAATAACGATAGTAATAGTAAAGGAAATAATAAATAAATAACCATAATAGTAATAATAGTAATCAAATTTTTTAATACATACTTTTTATTATTTTAAATACATATGGTCTGATATCTTCACTCCACTTAAACTTCTCCGTTAGATTTAGAAAGAACTACGAGCACTATTCATGGAGACTGTATCGAATGTTTTAGCTAATTTCCCAAAAATAATTTTCGTTCTTCCGTATACTTCTTTGAATATATTTAAAAATTTGTAAAAATTTCAGGGATTTCGAGCGAAAGAGCCGGATTTCACTGACAACACAGCATGCCTTCCTACAGATATGCATGCCGATTGGCTTAGCGTTCTAGCTGGCGAAAATTCTCGACGAATAAGCGAAGCTGTAAATTTTTTTCTTTTGGAATTTTTTTTTTTTGATTTTTTACTATCGCCAATCTATGGTGTAGGGCTCTAGAAATTTAACAGTCACGAAAACTTTGGCTGAAAAGGGGCATATTTCTTTTTAGATTCCAGTGAGAGGCTGCATGTCAAAGAGCTGCCGGTTGGCGCAAATTCCACAACATAGCAGCGGCTTTCCCCAAAATGTCTAATCGGAAGGATCTTATGTCCCTTTTCGGAACCATTTTTTGAAAGCATTGATGTGTTAGTAATAATTGAAAGATAGTGAAGATTTCAAAAAGGCTGATTTTTTTTCGCAGATGTTTTTGTTCAGATTATAAGATTTACGTGAAATTAGAAATTTCAGACTGAAACGGATCATGTATTCATCAATTTTCGCTCAGCTGAATACATTTTTACTGCATGCACAAGACTTCGTCTACCATCTGAAGTGAAATATGCGGCCTTGTTAATCTTTGACAAGTAAGTTTTATTTTCTAATAACCTTCAGTACCATGAATCAAAATTTTTGCTGCTCATCATGCACAAAAAAACATGCTTATTATATATGTGATGAGCAAAAGGCTGTACCGATCATTCCCACTTTTGTACTTGCAAGCTCTGATCTGTTTGTATTTACAGCTAAGGGATGAAACATAGACTGATCCTCAAGATGTCAATCAGTGCATATTTTATTTAGATAATCTATTATCCTTGAATTTTAACATTTCTCGGGCTGTATGAATAGGAATTGGATGGATTTTTTGCTGTTTGTTTTACAAGATGGATGTACAAATATATTTACTCATAATTTGATTTGTTTCTTTGTAACAGTAGGGCTTCACCTCGATGATTTGGATAATCTCAGAATACTAGATCCGGAGATATAAGACTGAGCTAAATGTCATATGTACCGAAAGACATACTGGAGAGCAGCCTGTGTTTCATCCCTTAGCTGTAAACACAGATAGAGCAGAACACCTTAACGGCTAATTTAATTTTTTGTTGAATAAGATATAGTAAGGATTTTAGTTTCATGGTTAAGTTGGTGAATGGGCTGCATGAATGCATTTACAATTCCAATCGACCAGATCGTGAAAAATATCGTGAATGGGAGCATATCGAGGCGGCACTATCACGTCAGATGACGCTTCGCATAGTTTCAGCAATTCAAATTGCTTCAAAAATGCATAATTATTACGAGGTAAACAATTATCCCTAATTTCTTCTCGCATCCTTATCAAAATTACTGCAAAAATCGTATTCTACCTGCTAAATCGACCTGACTTCAGAAGTTTGCAAAATATTCAGAGTGTTACAATAAGGACCGCGAAGCTGTGCCTGCGTACACTTGGTTCTACGTATACAGAAGAAGCGATAGTACGCTCGGAAATGCGC